ATGACATGGGAAAAGTTAAAGGAAAAAAATAACATATGGGCTGGTAACTTGAGGGTTGCCCCGGTTCAAGTCCCCGTTGGATCAAAGGAATAAAGTTTGGTTGTTTTACTTTCCTCGACCAAAAAGACACTGGACTCCAAAAACAGCTCGGTTGTGCTTTCGTTCAAAGAGGTTCAAGTTTGTGTGTGTGTGTGTGTGTGTGTGTGTGTATAGAGTGACAGTTTTATTCCTTTTTATTTAATATGCAGGGTCTCTTTACTTTTGTCTTCAATGTGTGTGTATAAATCTTTGTTTTAACAATGTGTAAAAAGGTTGGTTTTAATGCCATGGAATTGTTACTACCTGCTACCAACTTACATTTAATCAACCAATCAGTATGCTTAGTGACCTTTTATTAATTACATGTCAGTTCTCAGTCCACGGACTTTATCATGTCCTGAATAAGATCAAACAGAGAATATTGTATTAATCGTTTTCCACATGTATCAAAAGTGTTTTGTTTTATTTTGACTGTGTCATGATTTGGTCTGGTTTAGTTTTGTATTTTGTGTATTTCAGAGTTTAGATTTATTTTTCATGCTTTAGTCCTCATTCTTCTGGTGTTGCTTGTTTCCCTTGTGTGTTATCTTAATGTTTCCTAGTTTAGTCTTTGGTGTTTTTATTTTGTAATTTCTTATCCTTTTGTTTCTCTGTACTAGTATTGTTAAATTATCATCCTTCCTGACCGCCAGAGGCGGTGCTTTAAGCACTGAATGATACCATATCGCACATGAGCAGGTCAAGTAGCTATACCAAGTAGGTTGAGTAGCTATATGTCGTTTGTAGCCCTGTTTTGTTGGAGTTGCGGTGCTTCAGTTGCCCTCCAAGGGCTGTGACGAGCTTGGCCTTTCTGCGGTTTTTCCTTGGATAGTGATCCCTAAGGTTTGTCGCCGACATAATTGTGAATATCACAGTTTTTTGTTGTTGCTTAAGTTTGTGTGTTTTTGCCACATCCAGCGTACTTTAGTTTCTGTTTGTTACGGTTAGCGACATTGTGTCTGACGGAGTTAACCTCTAACGGCGTGGGGTAGCAACTCGGTTGCACCCGTGTTGTTTTGTTGACAGCACTTATTGTTTAAGGATCGCGTTTTCACTTGTGTTAACTGTTACTACTGGAAGCACCTGTTGTTGGTGCCTGCCCTTTTTTTCGGCGTGGAGTTTGCGCATGAACTGCAGTTACATGCCTCGGACCATGAGGGCTGCTCGACTGTCTGAGGTGGAGGAACTTCTGGGGGGGGTGAGCTCGCCAGTTTATTTGTCTCCTCCTCAGCTGACTCCGGCTTAGGGGCCGGTTACGATCCCTCCTGGCCGGTTGAAGCGTAGAGCTGCTGAGACAGTGGGCGCCTCTAGCCGGAAGCAGTCCAAGCTCGCTTCCAGGGTGGACCAGCTTACTGCAGAGCTTGATCAGATGAAGGCTGCCTTTCTCACAAGGCAGACTGATGCCACTACAGTTATTGAGGAGGACATCCTCTCAATGGTGGCATCTGCCACAGAGTTTGGAGAGTATGGGGGGGATGCACCCTCTCAAGAGGGGGCTTCTCAGGCCTCAGTGGCTGGCTGAGGCTTCCCTCTTCCCTCAGCTCCGGACGGGGCTCGGAGGATGACTCCATGGGGCCCTCATTCGTAGGGCCCTGGCTCGTCTGCAGCTGGACCCTCCTCAGCCAGAGCTGCCCCCGGTGAGTGCGTTTTTTAGGCGTAGTACAGCCCCAGCTACCTTCATGGTGCCTCCCTCGGAGGAATACCTGAGAGAGTTGCACGCGTGCTGGAGAGATTCGAATGCCCTCTCCCACGCTACCTCAGATGGCCGGGCTCTTGCAGCTATGCACGATGTGGCCAAGTTCGGTTTGGGCCACATGCCAGCCATTGTGGCTCTTATTGTTTCTCCCGATGAGGACCTTAGGAGGGATGCGCGGTGTCCCCGACCTCAATGCAGGGTGACAGACGACCTCCTGTCTCGGGCTTATGAGGCAGGAGCCCGTATGGGGAGGATAGGGAACTCGATGTCCCACCTTCTGCTTGCCCTGTCAGCCTCCCTGCCGTAGACGGCACCTGATATATCTGTGCATAGTCTTAGTGATGCATCCCTCCAGGCGTTCGCGCTGATGTCTAGGGAGTTGGGATGGGTGATGTCCACACTCGTCCAGGCTCGCCGGCAGGTTTGGTTGGTGCAGTCGCCCCTCACTGAGGCAAGCAGTTCCAGTGGAGCCAGGGGAGCTGTTCGGATCAGCAGCTCTAGAGGCTCTTGAACAGTCTATTCAGGCTAGACAGACCAGGCAGCAGCTCTCTGGTCTCAGCAGGAGCTTGCCTCCTCATGTTAGGCCTAGGAGTACTGTGGTCTTTCCTCAACGCCAGTTTCAGTCCCCAGCTGGTGCCAGTGGTCACCAGGAGCCTCAGCGCCCAGCACAACATCCCAGCCCAGGAATTTCAGCCCCCGATCGCCTGTCCTCCAGACAGCCTCGAACCTGGGACTCAAATCGCCGCCCCCCCCCAGAGCCTCTAGAGGCCGGGGGGCCAGGCTCTGAGGCCTTGGGGCCGGCTGTCGGCTGTTTTTCCCACACCAGACGCTTTGGTGGTTTCCACTCTAGCCCAGGGATACAGAATGCAGTTCCAACGCGGGCCCCCAGCCATTGGCCGGGTCAAGATGACCATCATAGGCGACCCGGCAAAAGCCTTTGCTCTCGACCAAGAGCTCTCTACCCTCTTGGTCAAGGGTTCCATCGAGCCGGTAGACCCCGTGGCTCAGCCCTGGGGATACTACTCAACGTACTTCGAGTGGTTTAAATCCATCGACCTGAAGGACGCATACTTTCACGTCCCCATATTTCCTTGACACAGGCAATTCCTCCGTTTTGCCTTTCAGGGCCGTCATTTTCAGTTCAGGGTTCTTCCGTTCTGCCTCTCCCTTTCCCCCCAGGTGTTCACCAGGTGTGTAGCAGCAGCTCTGTCTCCCCTACAATCCCAGGGCATGAAGGTCCTCCCCTATCTGGACGACTGGCTGGTGTGTGCGCCGTCGCCGTCACAGGTAGCCTAGGACACTGCAGCCCTCCTTTCCCATGTGCCTGTGTTTAGAAGCAGATTTGACCTTCACTGCCTCCTCTTCCTCCTCCTCCATCTCAGCCTCTTCCACCTGTTCCCCCATGTAAGTTTACTGTTCCCCCCACCTGTCTCCTCTGCCTGTGTTTCATCTTCCTCCTCTGACATACCCTCCTGCGTTTCACTGACGCCACTTGCTTTATTTATCTGCACTTCACTCACACTTTTCCAGCTGTTTCTTCCCCCTTTTCTTCACCCACCTCACTTTCCACCACATCACCCAAAACCTCTCCTTCACTTCCCTGATTGTTTTCACCCACACCGTGCACATCATTCATACTCACCACCCCGAGCTCCAGGTCAGACACAGCAGTGGCAAGGCGCCAGATGAAGTCTCCGCCGCGGCCTGCAGGGGCCTCCCACCGCTCCGCTGCAACCAGCGGAAAGCCCCGCCACAGGGCCGGGCGTCACCCCACGGCCAGGCGGAGCCGGATCCCCTTGTCTCGGACAGGCCTTCACGGTGTGTCCCTCCTCACCACAACCGAAACATTTCATAGCCGACGAGGTGGCAAATATCATGTAGTCATAATCATCTACTTTAACATGGAAGCGGAGGTTGAGGTCCGCATCCCAATTGTTAAGTATCATAAACAGTTGTTTACGGTGAGACACTATGTGTTTCAGCAGCTGAGATCTACATCCAGACAGAATCTTTTTTATGGGTGAAACCACCTTCCCATGTCTGGAGAGCTCTCTGCTAAGAAACTCGTCGGTTATGAACGGAGGGACATTGGACAGGATGACTCTGGTGGAAGGCTGTGTCATCGGAGCCACCTGTACAAACATTTCCTTCACTGTGATGCCTGGCCCTTTCCGAATTGTCACAGTTCAGTATGCAGTACGTACTATTCAGTATACTGAACTTTCGTGGTCATTCAGTATGCATTTTTTGGGTCTGCGCAGTATACTGAACATTTCAGTATGGATACTAACTTCCGGGTTTTATGCCGTATTGATCGGATGCGTGCTTTCAGGAAATGAATTGTGTTTTACCACCCACAATGCTGTGCGAAATTTAACGTACATCACACGTCACGTCCGCCTCCAAATCAAAACAAACGAGCGTGGATTAATTGAATCAATGCTGCCGTGCCTGACCTTCTCTTCCACCGCAAGCCTGACCTTCTCCACGCTGCACGGAAAGCTGGCATTGATTTTAATGGCATGCTTTCGCGTGAGGTGGCCGAAGGTGACTCCATTTAACATGACGTCTGAAGACGCCGACCGGAGAGACACCGGCAGGAGAGAAAAAGAAAAACACAAACACAAACACACACTAACAATAAACTTAAAGTGAAACTACAACCAATAAACTACATTAAATTAAATCAAATTACTAAAGAAAAAAAAACATGAAAACCACTCGCTCAGCGTCTCACTCCACACCACTCACTCCCAGCATGCACCAGAGAGAAAGAGAGAAAGATAGATAGAGAGACCTGGTGTCTTAATGTGAAACACTGAACACAAGCAGAACATATATTTCAAACGCTCTTAAATGTAAATATCATAGAAGATATACTCTTGTGACCTGCTACACACACACAGACTGTAATTGAGCTGCATGTTTCTCTCAGACTTTATCTAAAGTTTATCCTCCAGCCTCCTCAAATGTATTAAACTCATAAACTCTGATTCAGTTTCAACATTAATGTGTTGTGAGGTAACGCTGGCTGATTTCAGATATGATTATTTAGTGTTTTTAATATCTGTTTTATTGTGTGAAAGAAGGATTACTTAGAAATAGAATGACTAATATTCACGGTGTCTTCCGAGCCTTTAGAGTGCGCTAGTTCACCCGAGCTGATCACCGCCCGGTTTACCATCAATTCCCCAGAAGAAGAATTTAAACATCGTGATAGGTTGCCGGTTCTTATAAATCCAACATGGCGCTCTGTTGGGTGATCAGTGAGGACGGCCGGTTATTAACGTCGTTCAATCCGATCAAAGTGCAGATTTTACGGTCTCATTAAGAAGCGCAGGACGAGTTAGTCCTACTCCGGGCTGATGAGAGGACTTCCGGTCTTCACTGACTCAGTTTACTGGGTAACTTAGCAGCGGCGGCTAACGTTAGCTCCAGCTCGGTGAACCGACATGGACCGAGCACCGACCAGGATGGACCCGTGAAAGGACCGAGCACCGACCAGGATGGATCTGTTAAAGGTGAGCAGATGAACCGTGTGGGACATGGACTTTAACTTAAATGCAATGTGTTCACTAACAGGACAGCTTTGGGCGGGAACATTCGGGTTTAGTGGACGTGAGCAACGTGAGGAGTGCGTGCGCATGCTGCCTCCACGTGCTTCTCGGAAATACCAAATTTACTTTATTAACGAGTTCTGAGCTCATGAACGGCCCTACGAAAACGTCGTTATAATAATACAATAAGTTTGGGAAATTTCGGTAATGAGCAAGTTAGTCAGCTGTGATGGTTTCTGAGTTGGGAGTTCTTCTTCTGGCTTCAGTGTGTTCACGAGTTTGTAAAGTTGCAACAGCAGTGTTGATGCTACAGGGAAGTTGTGTCTCTGTTGCAAGTTATATCTCAATACGTGGATTAATAATCGTATTTTATCGCTGACGTAACATATTTTAGCGCTCATGTGATTAAGATTATTGCGGCAAGTCGGGCCCCTCCATTTTTGTTCCGACTTGAGCAGGAAACAATTTTCTTCCGATTTTTCCCACACCACCTGAATGCACCTTTACAGCCCTACACACACTGAATTGTCACTCAGAGGTTTCTTCATCTGTTTCAGGACCAGGATCAGACTCCACCTCCTCAGGACTCCTGGGACTGAGGGACTAAGGTAAGACCATCTGTCCAAAGACTAAGGAGGTGTAGGTTTACCTGTCTCACTGCCTGAAAGTGATGAAATGAAAGGCCGACTGAAGCTCCGCCCCCAGCAGTCTGTTCACAGGGGGAGGGGCCGTGACAAAACCGGACTGAAGCGTATCCTGATTCATGCAGATCACTTTTTTCTACCTGTCCCTCTAATGAGTCTGTACCTGCTGTTCACTCTGCTCTCTGATTGGCTCTAACAGGACCAGCTGCTGTGATGTCAGACCTGCCCACTGATTGGTTCTAACAGGACCAGCTGCTGTAATGTCATGGTGAGATATACACAAACAGCCCATCACTTAAGATGTCACATAGTGGGCAGGGTCAGTGTCTACTGGGACATGATGTGAACAAAAGGCCGAATTGTAGCGCCCCCGCCAGGCAGCGTGTTCTCAGAGCGGGGGTGCTGTGACAAAAAATCGACCGAAGCGTTTGTCTGATCCCAGTCAGCTGGCTGCAGAGGTGCAGACCGAGGAGCTTCCAGGTTACTGATCAACCAGCATGAAGCCCTGCCCACTGACCATCAGGTGTGTCAATGTGGGCTCAGGGAACATTCAGTCTGGGTACTAAGACCCAGTGTTTGATGGGGCTGCAGGATTAGTCGTAAACTCACAATTTCGATTCTCACATGATCTCATTTCTGTCTGATGGTGTTTCACTTCAGAAACAGTACATGAATATTAATGAGTCCCTTACGTCTCTCTTAGTGTGTTTGCCACTCTGGAGGAGGAGGAGGCGGCGTGCACGGAGCTGGTGCCCTACCTGAGCTTCATCCTGGACACTCTGGTGTTTGGGAAGTATCAGCACAAGAATCTGCTCATCCTTTTACGAAGCCATAGGAACTATGGCGGACTCCGTGGTTCGCACAATCTTTTTTGTCCATTGAGCCATCCAGGTTTTTTCCTTCAGTGTCATGAACCATTGCATGCTTCTCAGTGTGGCTCCTTTTTTTTTTTTTTTTTTTTTTTTTAAATAAATTATTTTTCTTTAAAGAATTATTTTGTTTTATAGCGGGCCGTTTGATATTGTCAAACTGAAAAAATGTGGTTGGACTGAAGACGACGAGGAGTAGGTGCT